ACACAGATGCAGTCTAAATAAGACTGATGAGACAACTATTGTTGAAGATTATATAGTTTTGACAGTTGACAAAAATAACTCAGTATTATTGTCAGTAGTTAATAAACAAAAATAATACTCAACCGCGCAGCGCGATACCCATGTTTCCTACTGTCCCTCCAAATATTTTTTTTTGAATTATTTCTGCTTGGGCTGTTTAACAACAGAAAAACAATGCTGGTGTTTCTGTAATACTGAACTATGACCTAAGTATTTTTATTTAAATAGATGCTATAGAAAGGCCAATTTACTGCAAGGTTTCTCCTAGGAAACCAGAGGCCTACATACATTAAGCCCCGCACCTCTCTTGGACGAAGGCGATCAACTCTGTGCCTCAGTTTCCTCACCTGTGCAGAGGTGATAAGTGATTTGTCACAGGTGCCCCCACGATGGACGGCAGAGCCAGACACAGCCTCGTGCTCTGGGCTCCCTGTTCTGTGGATTAGCCCCTAGGCTACCCTCCCACAGAGCAGGGGAATGTTGTTGGGAGAGTTGGGCCAGGAAGGAGAGACATCTCATCGTCCAACTCTGCTAACGTACATCAAACGCCTGTCTGAATTTATTGCCACATGCAATTAACCTGTGTGGCACACGATCACAAATGCTGCACATCCTCCCACTTTTCCAGCACCCCATTTCAAAGGTAATTATTTCAGTTCTGCATTTCTCTTCCTCTTATTTTGCCCTCTGCAACTGAACATAGCACACCCCTCCGTTCAGCTTCCCTGAGGTCACTGTTTTCTATGATTGCTTCTGCTCTTCCTTCTGGAGTGTCTTCCTTTTGGCTTCTCTTCTTATTAAACTCAGCTGGTTTGATGAAATATGGGAGAAAAAACAGAGGCAAGGAGCAGCCTGCATCTTTGCTCAGCTGAACACGAAGCTTTCGTCAGGTGTCTAAAAAAATGTAAGTCCATGCTGGCTGCACTTTATCAAGTAATTTTCTTCAGACTTACAAAACTTCTCCTCCTCTGTGAGTGACAGGGTCAACCACCAACATTTATATTATTAAAGATCTGTGTTACAGTTCCCCCTAGGGACTCAACAACCGGCGCATAGATAAGTCACAAGTTCCAGCACCTTACAGTGTAGGCAGAATTTATCCCAGGTTTCAATGGTTGCTATTCCTTGATGTTGGTTTTTTGGGTTGTTTTTTTTTTAACACGAGCATCCATGAATAAAACTGAAAAAAAATGAATGCTGTGTTTAAAACCATGTGGTTACTTGACTGAAAGGAAAAACTGGCTGCACTGCAAGATCTAAGCCTGCAACACTGTATTAGGCGTGCTGCTCTTCCACTTATGTTATTTAAAGTGGATCTATAGCTGCCCACATGACAAATTAATATTGTTCTGCAGTAGTTAGGTGCTTGGCATCACATTTTTGAAGCATCTACAGGCCTTCGGGGCTGAAAGTGTTCACATCTTCAGCAATCTATAATGGTTCCTCTAGAGGCCAGCATTTGCTTCACAATGAAACATGCCTCCATAAATCAGACTGCAGAAGTGGCACTTGAGTACGTCACCATCTATCTTAGCAGTTTCTCTGAAGGATGTTGGGTAGAGATCATCTCTCGGCACTGCAACCAGGGGAAGGACCATCACAGTTGGCATTGACAAAGCATGTGCTACTTAAAACTGAAGACACACTAAGTCTATGAGAAAAACACATCCTGCTGGTGTTAGCATGCCTCAGGCAGTGGTAGAAGCTTCAGCAACTCATCTTCAAAAGGCAGAGAGCCAGGGCTCTAGGAACCTGCAAAAATTGGCTAAGCCTGCAGTCTTCATTTTTTTCAAGTTGAGCATCTTCAAAGTCTACAATTCTAACTGTAGGGCACAGCAGCTGCCACTGCAGATTTGATCCTCTCAGCTTTTGGCAGCTCTCAACTTGAAATTCTAGCAAAAGAATTTTTCAAGTTGCTATTATTGCCTGTCATGGATTTATAAATATTGTGCACTATCTGCTGTGGCATGGCTCTCATGGGACGCCAGTGCATGCCAAAAGCATAACAGAATGAAAAACAGTTCCTTTTCTTCAAATAAATGCTAATTTTTTTTAACTGTGCTCACACGATGTGTTTGGTGATCAGCTTCAATAGTACAGAATATATATCAGAGGGAAAAAAGCTGATTGTCTTTTCCAGCAGTATTCAGCTGCTACTTTCATTAAGCTTGTTTAATTACATTCCAGATGCTAATTTGCAAGTCGATACCAGAGGGTGCAGGACAGTTTGCCTTTGAATCATTTTTCTGTGATGTGATGGTCTTACAGCACACCACTACCCTTCAGTAGCCCTAGCAAGATATTCTGACAATTAGTGTAAAAGCAAGCAGCATTGATCTTAACAGAAAAATATTAATCTTCTACCCATTTTAATGAATTAATCTCCGGAAATTTTAAACGTATCATTCCAGTGTGACACCAATTGACAGTTTTTATGTTTGTATCACGCAATGCAAAAACGTGCTGCATTTTGAACTGAGCAAACAACGTCTCAGCTAACAGAACTACGATTAATGCGTGTTCCTTCTTTATTTTTGATTTTGTTGAATTTTCCACCAGGTAGAACAACCTATTTTGGGGGGGGGGGGGGGGGGGGGGGTTAAAATGTAGTGTTAAAGTTAGACATTTTAACCTGTTTCCTGTAGATTTGAAAAAGAAAAGAAAAAAGAACCACTGCTAAAAAAGTAAAATTGAGTTATCCCATGGCTCTTAGCTATATGAATTACTCTGACGGGATATTACACACATTAACCAGTTGAACACCCGATGAAAACAAAGAGGGTTATAGTGTACGCTCATGTCCAGACCTCAGTGTCCATTTCACCAACCCGGGAGAACACATTTCTACACGCTTGATGCACAACGAACTCCTGCCATTTAAGGTTGACTATAAAGACAATTTAATTAAGTTGACCTTTTTGGATAGAAAAAAAAAAGGAAATTTACCAACTTTCGGCGCTTTTTAAGCTATTATACTAAAAAATGGGTTAAAAAACAAGAAAAAGAAAGAAATTTGCCAACCAGTAGAAAATGAAAAATGAAGTTCTTCCCTTAAAATGGCAAAAAAATAATACTTAAGTTTTGAGACCACACTATGCTACAGCTATTGTTTTTAAGTTGCCCATATGAATAGTGCACAGACCAAATGCAGGTATGAGGAAGACTGGAAAACCCACTAGCATTGTGCACCACTTTCAGTGACAAGCTCCAGAAGCAGAGATTCAACTTTCATATTTCATGGATTTTTCTACTGACTCTTAATGCTGTAGGTTAAGGAGTCTGAGTTTCCAATTAAGAATATTCCAAATTTTGGCAACCTTGCTTATGCATCCTAGACACAATGTCCTGTTTTCTTGGGTGCTCCCTGCAGCATAGTAGCAGCATTAAAATCTTTTTGCAGTCTCATAATTAAAAGAACAGTAACTGCTTCATATATAGTAACAAGGGAAGACATACAACTCCACTTTTTATTTACTTATGCAGTCTCTCATCCATTGCAAACCCTTTAAACCATTTTTTTGTTTTTACAAATCATTCATTACAAGTTTTTAATCAGTTGTTAACGCACATGAAGTTAGTCCAAAGACAAGCTAACAGGATAAAGATATTTTACTTAAATTATAATTTTAAATTATTAATTTGAGGTAGGAATTCAGTAGCACCATAGAATCATGCTGCTAAAACCACATACCTTGTCCACTAGGACTTAAAAACGTGGTCCGCAGCAGAGATGCTAACCGGATCAGGAAAGTTTTCCAAATTTCACTGAAGTTAATCAACCTTTTCCTTCACTACCAGTGCAATCTGCATGGATACTAAACATCTTTAAATAATTTTATAGCTACATTTTAGGTTCCAATGGTATTTATGAAAAATGACTGCAATTCAATGTGTTACGAGTCATTTTTAATTTACTTCAAAAACTCTCAATTTTGTATTCAATTCTCATTTTTTTCTTTAACATGGAATTATGAATCAATTGCAACTCAAAGGAGCATTCAAGAAAAGTCTGAAGAGATTAATGTGGTTTAAAGAAGAGCCTGACACTACTGAGGCATGTTACCATGCAGAATCACAGGAAGCCTCTTAATTCTTTTATAGTTTTATTTTCATCAGTAGTGTAACTGCAGGTACCTGTGATTTTATTCTCTTTTTTTTGTTGAATGGGCACTGAACAGCAATTGATTTTAAGAAATTCCTAGCGTACTTTAGGTGTAAAGGAAGACTATACGTAAACAAAAAATAGTGCAATGGATGTGTTACGGATAATACGCAGATATGAGAATGGAACAGCTTATTCTGACGTACAATTTATTCAAAACTGGATTATGACCCTACTGTTCTCAGTATTTACTCAGATGATTCTGCTGCATGATAACAAACCCCTAAACATGTTATTCAGTTTGACAGACAGTCAGCACAAAACCTGAAAATGTTCCGATATCTTCGAGGTCTAATCAAAGATTTCTGGAGTACAGCTACTATTTGAGAGGACAATCAATTTGAAATGATCAGTTTCCAACAATGAGTTAAAATCAGTTTTACATTCTGCCGATTTTTGTGGCGTTTCACATTTTTAATAAGTTGACTGTAAAAACCAAGAGAAACAACAGAAGAAATGACTGATTAACAGGAGAAAAAAATTAAAGAGAATTCTCTCCCCTCTGATTTTTCAGCTACTATTAATCGCACATTTTTTGTGATAGACAAAGTATGGACATAGGAAATATACTCATTACATGGACTGTGTCCTTTTGAATATTTTGACAGCTCTGTAATGAGCCAACACTAAATACAGGGGAGCTGAGAGATGGAGGATATTAAGGATTAAAAAAAAGCAAAAAACAAAAAACTTAAGGACATTCCATATTTCCCATCACATCTCCTTTAATGTACATTAATGTCATCAGAAATACGGAAAGAAAAAACATCACATTTTCAAAGACCAAAACATTCCTTACCTCCATATCTGGCTTATATTTATCTTCAAATACTGCCATGGCCGCTAATGATCCAGAACCTAAGACAACAAAGTTAAAGGCATGATTTTAATTTGGATGCAGTTAAGTGGCTGCTGAATTTCTACATAACATTTTTAAGAGAGGAAGAGTACAAATAAGAAACAGGAACCCACCACCAGTCTCACTTCAGATCATGAAAATACTGACCCTATTTCACCCCACACTATTCAAATGTCTGCTCTCTTAAGGGACAGCACTCATTTTAGCCCACGATTTACCTGCCAGTCCACATAGACTTGGTATACTCCTAGTTTTATTAACGTAAGTAATCTACGGGAAAATGCTGAAGTATGGCAACGAGGTTATAGAAAGTGAGCAAAACGAATGCCAGAGTTTGTGTTTCCTGTTCCTCTACTACTCCCGGCCCACTTTCAAGCTTTGCCAAGTTGCAGGGTATATCACTAAATACCAAGACACTTAGGAAGAATGGATTGTTTTAATGAGCTGCCCTGGCACAGTCACCTTGACACATGGGGATGAGTGTACCAGCAACAGTAATAGGATAGCTTGCGGCTGCCACCAGACTATTTCCCACATCCACTTTAAAACACTTTATTATGCGGCATTTATTTTGTACCATTATTTTACTTTGTACTTTGAACAGTAACAACTGAATAGACAAAATGACAGATATGGAAACAAGAGTTTAACCTCCCATCTCTGATCCGCTCAAAGGCTGCACTGAAAGGGTATTAATGCAACAAAACCCGTCTTCACCCCAAGCGCGGTAACCGCAGGCATTATAAATATACGCTTCCTCCAAATGGGCATAAAAAGCAGCTCAGCACTATTTGAAAATTTAAACTTGCTTTGTTCAGAAAGGAGTGACTCTTTAGGAAGACATCATCTTGTCTATTCAGGGCCCTGACAATATTTCAGGACGCTCTACTTTTGGAGAGTGAATAAAGTTGCCTACAATTTTTTACTCCAATTAGAAGATTTTTTTGGCATTTATTACTTTTTAACTTGTTTTGCATACCACTATCTGTTTAGCTGGGTCACAGAGAAAGCCATATTTTCTATTTAAAATGATTTGTGTACATCGCTTGACCACCTCAATGGTTTAGCGGAAGAAAAAGGCAGCGATTAAACAGTTTCAAATGAGGTGTCCTGCTGATTTTATCAAGTCTGCTGAATGTATAATGAAAAAGGAGAAGCTGACAGTGACACTGTTGAGGAAATACAGACTACCTTATCTGAACCATTTAAGGAGGTCCAATTATAGATCAAATTTAAAGGGTAGAAACAGCAGATTTACAGACACAAATCAATGAACATGGTAATCCCAATGAATGTGACAGATATTCCTGTTACAGAATATTGCTGTGGTTGAGGATCATTACCTTTACAGTACCAAATACATCACATCTAAAAGCAGTAGGACGCTCTAAGTGTATACTTGTATTACAAGCAATGACTATTCATTTAGACCTTGGAGCAGTGTACGACTCCATTTTTTTTAAAGCTGAAACTGGAAATAAAAAGGATTTTGAGGGGACTGGCAGCAGACCTGAGTTACATAAACATTTATATCAAGACAAAACCCCGAACAAAAGAAATTGCACTGAACCTCCAATCAAGGTCAAAGTAAGTTGTGTTCTGCAGCAGATACGGACATTTGTTTGTAAATGAAACTCCGAGCGATGCTGCTCTAAATGGAATTAGAGAGACAATCCTGAAAGACTGCTTCAGATCCCACAAGTTCCTCCTTAATTCACACAAAAAACTGCCCTCTGTAGGCATGATGGGGAGCCTAAAGAAAAGCTAGAAACCAATATTAAAGGGTGTTTATCCTAGGATGCAGGAGCCCTTGACATGATTAGCAATGCAACGGCACAGGAGACAAAATATCCAAGCTACAAGAACAAAGGTAATATTTTGAAGGCTTTTTTAAAAAAAGAAACCCTTTTCTTAACTATTATTATATAGTAGAAAATGTTATAAAAGATTATTTTATTTTCTAAATCTTCTAGCAACACATCCTATTGTTGTATAACTTTCTACGGAGTCCTGTGGCACCTCCGCATGCAAATGGGACCTCTCAGAAAAAAGAACACAGATTGCCCAGGCATCCACTAATTTTACTTAGCACTTGGAGATTCTCTACACCTCAGTACTGCTCTTCCAGAGAAACAACAAATCTCACACCCAGCAGCAAAGGGTGGATGTGACCTTCCGCCACTCTTCCAATTGTCTGCAGTAAAGAGACACCAAAGAATAACATCCTGAGCAAGTTTTCAGCCCCAAAGATTCAGAACCACCAGACAAGAACAAAGTAAAAACTTAGAAAAGTAAGTCTAAGGAGCATAAAAAGTCAGAAAATAATGCACAAATTAAATAAACCTCTCTAGGTCTAACTGTCAAGATATCGGATTTAAAAGTCAAATTTAAACGATGAACACAACTAGCCCCTTAGATGAGGCCTTCAAAGAGACGTTGGAATACCTGGTAAGTTTGCGGACCTGTGTTTTTTAATGTTAAATTTATTCCAGTGTTCAACCTATAAACATCCAAGAACCAAAGTCCATAAGGGTCCTAATAAAATAGTACGATGAACTTAGAATTGGATTGTAATGTAAATCCAGAGCCCAGCCCTTCTGTTCGTCTCTCCTAAGCAGAAGTTTTACGAAGACAGGCTCACTCTGACTTGCACTTAATGAAAGGTGTCCCAATAGGAGGCCTACTGAACAGGCCAACATTGTGAAGAAAAGATGTTGTACAGGTTGCTTGTACAGTTTAGCAGGATTTAGTGGTTTTCTGAGATGCACCGAACTCTCTGAAATGTGCAAGCTGTATTTTTTTTTGTCTTTGGATGTATGCATAAAGAAGAGTGTTGCAATTTTAGAAGTTCAAGCATTTTTTTTTTTATTCTGAGCTCCTCTAACAAGATACCAGACAACACTGGAGAGGGAGCAGGTCCTCTCAGCCCATCCGATGAAATCCTTCAGCAGAAACTAATCGCATTTTACAATACAGGATGCATTCATGGTGGACAGAAGCGCAGGATCTTCAGTTTATAATACAGCCATATAAATGTGAAACAAGTAACTGGTTTAGCCCATGTTTGCTGGAAGGCCTGACAGGGCTGAGGCCTCTGTGATGGCATGGAATGGTTTAGATAAAGATACATCTAGATGACTTGCACCTATGCTACAGAAGCCAACCCTTCTTAGCCCCCACTCAACATCCCTAGTCACCTGGTTCAGAATAAAATCCTCCCTGATCCCAAATTTGTCCATTCACTTGACCCTGACCACAGAGGACAGGATGCAAAACTCAGCCATCCAAGAGACACGTACTACCTTAGAGTGCCAGTCCCCTCACTGTTCCTGAGCAAGGCCCACAAACAAGTGAGGAACCCTCTCTCCCCCGCCACACACATCTGGCCAACAGTGTGCTCTGTGCGTGCATACGGGGAGAGGAGCAGTGGGAAAAGGGGAGATATTCCTTGCTGACTCCACAGCCGGCTGAAGCTATGTAGCGTGACATCCATTGCTTTAACGCAGTCACAAATATGACGAGCACACCAAGAACAATGCATGTCATTCTGTTCCCCTTACGGCCCACAAAAGCAGGCGCTGCACCGGGGCATTCACAGTCTCGGGCTCTGGGGCTGGAACCACAACCACCCAGCAAGCTGGAGACGTGGAATCTATGTAGGAGCGTGCTCCCACTTCATAGATAGCATCCAATATAAAGTACTGCAAGTCAAGATTCAACGTCACTAATCAATCACAAACATAGCCATTCAATTGCAATAATTAATATCTCAAAGCCACTGAAAGGTTTAGTAAGTCACTGTCATACTTAGTAATTTAGTGATTTGTTTGTTTAATTTCTAACTAATCACACTCAGTATAATGAATGCTATCTATTTGTATTAACGTTAATTATGATGTCTGAATAATCTAGAACCTCGGTGATATGTACTGCCACAGCCTTCCTCTTTCCTTGGTACAAACCCGTGACACAAACATTTCTTTTTAAAACAACTATTTGAACATTGCATCATTACCATACTTAATTAATAAGCCAGTATGGAAGAATAGGATTTTAAAACTGTTACACATCTCCGGATATGAATACATTAAAAGTTCAACTGCGGTTAGAAGGCCAGTTTTGATTTCTATGACTGATCAGTGCAAGAACCATGGAAACTCAATGAACATCAAGAAAATACCACAGTATAACATTCCCAATTATCTGGAGGCACCCAAATCCTCTCTTCTTTCAGTTTCAAGTAAGCCCCATTTAGTAAGAGGCTTGTTAAAGAACTGCTAATTAACCGAGCATTTAAATAGACAGCCTTGTAGACAGAGAGACATGTTAAAACATAAATAAATATTTAACTAAAATGGAGGGTTAAATTCTGCACCAAAATTTTCCATCTGATAAGTAATATGGACACGTACCAAAGGAATGTATTCAAGATCATTACGACTGATATTTAAAACCTCTCTTCTGGCGTTCCAGAAGACCTCCCCACTGTTAGGAAGAGGAGATACAAAATGAAATGCATTTGATCCTTTAGTTGTGTAAGGGACAAATTGTGATTTTAACTGCCTCAGTAGTTAACTTTCTTCTTAAAACTTTAATATTTAAACTAAAAAAAAATAAAAATCCAGATGTTGGAAGTGATTTTTCCCCTCCCGTTCATAATTAATTGCAGTGGCTTCTTAAGATCACTTTCCTGGAATTTTTAACCAGGACTTTCATTGACAAGAACTTCTTCCTGCTAAGCAGCGTCCGTTTTCAGCATCCAAGGACCTGTTTGCTACCTCAGCCTGCCACACTGGAGGATGTACACAGCGTTAAGAGAGTAACATTTAGAACTTTCTAATCCATCAGTGTCAGGGCTTCCTGACAGGGCACTTATTCACACACACTCATTGTTATTCAATTTGCTGCTCATTCTAGGTAAAAATTCGGTGCTCTCCACAGCCCCATCGATTGGGATCATTTTTCACTCTGGTTTCTGGCTGAGCGGCCTAGTCTCTTG